CCATAGATTCCTGTATGTTGTACTGGCATTTTCATTTACTTGTAGAAACTGTTTAATTTCTTCAATTACTTCTGTGACCCATTGGTTGTTCAAGAGAGACACACACCCTTTTCTACCTCACAGTGTGTCTCTGTCTCTTTATCTCTATCTCTCTTGTCTTTCTCTAGCTTTGTCTCTCTCTAATTCCACCTCTTTCTTTCTCTGGTCCATGTCAACTGCTCTTCCTGTGATCTTCTCTCTCTTTAGCTCTATCTCTATGTCTTGATCTATCTTGTTTCTATCACTCTGTGAGAGTTAGTATCTTGACAGATAGATGATGAATAGATACATGGTAGATGGGAGCTAGATGATAGATAGATAGATAGATAGATAGATAGATAGATAGATAGAAAGATAGATCACACTCTGCGGGCATGGCAGACACCTATAATGCCAGCATGCGGGAGGCTGAGGCAGGAAGATTGCCTTGAGATCAAGGCCAACCTAGAATACAGTGTGTTCAAGGACAGCCTGAACTACATAGCAAGATTCTGGCTTAAAAAAAAAAAAAATCACACTCCATTTTTTTTCTGTATTCCTCATTATCTCTATCCCTCAGACTCTCTCTTTTGTTCTCGGTATCATTTCTCAGCTCTGCATCTCCATTCTCTTCCTCCTCCCCTTTCTTTCTCCTTCCTCCTTCTTTATCCCGTGGACTCACCCACTCTATGCTTCTTCCTCCTTTCTACTTTCTACCTGCCCTGCTCTCATTTCCAGGACCTGGGGAATGAGAATTCCAGGAGATGAGAAGGAATCCCAGTCTCCCAGCTTTACCCTGTCCCATTCTGTCCAACATCTGCAGTTGCCTTCAGCATGGACAGTATGAGCACAGCCATCTTACTCCTGCTCCTGGCTCTGGTCTGTCTGTTCCTGACCCTCTGCTCAAGGGGGAAGGGCCAGCTGCCTCCAGGGCCGAGACCCCTCCCACTCCTGGGAAACCTGCTTCAGCTTCGCTCCCAAGACTTGCTGACTTCACTCACTAAGGTGCAAGGCCTCATCCTGGGTGAATGGGGGGGAGGCTCACATGGCCCCAGAGGCCCCTGTAATTTCTTTCTTTCACCCCTAGCTGAGCAAGGAGTATGGCTTGGTGTACACAGTGTACCTGGGGCTCAGGAGGGTGGTGGTCCTCAGTGGGTATCAAGCTGTGAAGGAGGCACTTGTGGACCAGCGAGAAGGAATTCAGTGGCCGTGGTGAATGCCCTGTGTTTTTCAACTTTACTAAGGGTGAGGGTAAGCCTGCACCTACCCATATCCTCCATCCACCCCCAATATTTTCCACATTTAGGAAGGAACTGAGGGTGGGAAGTTGTCATCCCAATCCTGGTGAACCTCAGGGCCACTGATCTCACTGATAACACTAAATGGGATAGAGTCAGGCAGTCCTAATCTAGGATGAAGTCTGTCCCACCTTCCCCACCTACAAATCCCACTATCTTGAACTGTACCTCCATACCAATCCCCACATCCATACAATTCCAAACTGATTGTCATCCCAATCCTTACCTCTATCCCAACCACATTGCTCAATTTCCAGCTCAATCAAGTGGCCAAGTTATCTGGTCCCGGTCCTCCTGTCCAACTTAATCCCAATCCTCATGAACCCTAACCCATGTTCCCTATGCAATCTTAACTCCATTTCTACCCACAACAATACTCACATTTCACTCCACCTCCATTCCCATTATGAACACTCTCCCAATCTCCATTTTAAATTCTGTTATCTTACATCCTTATCCCTTTAGTCAAACTGAACTCCACTGAAATGCATCTTCCCAGCCTCAGGCCCATCTTGTATTCCACTCATCTACTGAAGTTTCCAGTCCTCATTTTTTTTTTTTTGGTACCAGGGATCGAGGATCGAACTCAGGTCCTTGCGCTTGCACAGCAGGCGGTGAAACCACTGAGCTAAATACCCGGCCCTGAGTCCCCATTTTTAATTAATCCCTCTCCCATCACCAATATAAACCTCATCACCTATCTACCCAACCCCAAGCTCCAGCTCACCTCCAATGTACCAATTCTTCTCAATCCACCCAACTCTATGCCCACCACCAGCCTCAAACTCAATTTACCATGAATCTCACATCCTTCATACCTCATTATCGTCTTCATCCCAACCCAATCCACCTCCATCTCCACCCATCCAGCAATCAACACCATTCTCTCCAAATCTCTCCTATGTCAGTATCCTGTCCTCTCTATGGTTGGAAATCACTTAGATTCATGGTTTTCAAACTCTTCTTAAATATAAATCTCTTATTCAAAGGAAAGTATGTGATAAGATCCAAAAATGACTCAAAAAAGACTATTCCAATTGAAAGGAAATCCTAGACTACATTCTCCTTGAAGAGTGCCTAAGGTTCCCCAGTCCCCTTCACTACATGGATCCCAGCTGCCCCCAGATTTAGAACCAGAGAGGTCTGATGAAAGACCATTTGTTGTGTATTAAGTACACTTTCACTCTTCATACCTTCTTCCTTTACCACTTTATGTCCAGGTACATCAGAAGCAAGAAGACATAGTGTTCTAGAATCGCGGAAAGAAACGCACAGAGACACAGAAGTTGGGTAAAAAAACAAAGCCTTTGCTTGCTAGCAAGCCAGGACGCCAGAAACTGGTCTGGTCAGAGTTGTCCTTCCCTCCCCCCATCCACCGCGTTCTTTGTTCATCACCTTTTATACCTTTGTCAGTCATTATCTCATCATTAGTGGTCTTTGTTAAGTAAATAAAGTTCCAATTCCTATTTAATAGTTAGACACAGGTGGTTTCTGTCACTGATTACAGTCCTAAACACATGACAGTTAAGGGACATACATCACAAGTTTGTTCACGGATTCCCACTTTGTTCTTCAGAGTTAGGATGTTATCTACAGTGGAGCTACAGATCCAAGGAGCTATATAACCTTCACTTTAAACAACAAAATCAATGGGCTAAGGCAAGCTTTTAAAGGGATACATTACCTATTTTGCTTTCACAACTACTTCAATAGCTAATCTACTAAACTTACTTTAGAACTTTTCCCCATCAATAGAGTGCTTGAGAAAGTCACATTGCTACTTTTGTACACATTTGTTACTAAAAATAGCCACTATTTCATTAGTTTATACACAACAGAGAGGATGACTGCAGAGTTGTGCCATGTATTGTGTACCCTTGGGCAAGTGGTCTCCCCTCTCTAAACCTCAGTCTGCTATCAGGAGAAGGTTATTATAAAATAGTCAGTGAGATGATGCATATATTGCAAGGCAACATACTACAGTGTTTTCCCTCTCTCCCCTTCTCCTTCTTCTTCAACATCTAGTTCTCCACAGTAGAACTGAGCTACATCCAGAGAAATCAGAGACAGAAAACATCCAAGACCTTTTCCTAGTGTAGCTCCCGGTCCAATGGGAAATGCAGACCATCACCAGAATGTGACATCCCAGAATAGTTATTGGTTGGGGGGAGGGGGAGCCTGGGAGCTGTGGGCGTTGAACAGAAGTATCTGACCAGCCTAGGAGGGAGGAGTCAGGAAAGTCATTCTGGAAGAGAAGACCTCCAAGCTAAGACCTGAAAGATGAAGATGAGTAGTCAAAAGACCAGGGCATAGTGGTTCACATTGTAATCTCAGCACTCTAGGAAACTGAAGCAGGAGGATCACACGTTTGAGCCCAGCCTAGGCAATTTAGCAGGCTCTGTTTTTGGAGTGGTTTGTTGTTTTTTGGTGTGTTTTTTTTTTTGGTACCAGGGATCAAACTCAGGACCTTGCACTTGCAAGCCAGGTGGCGGAACCACTGAGCTAAATCCCTGGCCCTAGCAGGCTCTGTTTTAAAATTGTTTTTTAATTTTTTAAAATAAGCTGGGAATGAGCCAAACATGGTGGCTATAATCTCAGCAGTCAGAAAGCTAAGGCAGAAGGATCACTGCAAGTCAGAGGCCAGCCTGGGCTACATAGTGAGTTCAAAGCCAGCCTGAACTATAGAGTGTGAGACCCTATCTCAAAAAAAAAAAAATGCAAATTAATCAATTTAATTTAATTTAAATGAGCTGAGAATGTGGCTCAGTACAAAGGCCCTGGGTTCAATCCCCAGTACTGCAAAAAAAAAAAAAAAAGAATTGTGCAAAGGGTTGCTACAGTCCAGGCTGGTTCTGGGATGGATTCCACCTGTCCTGGTGTTTGTCTTGCTTATCTCATTTATTTGTACATTCAGTGATCAGTAAGCCATTACTGGGACTCTTTGTGACAAGATGTCCACCAGCCAATGCCAAGGAGCATGGTGACCAGTACAGGCCCCATGCTGTCTCTCCAACTCAGCGAAGGACATAGCCTCATCACCAGACAATGACAGTCCAAAGTGACCAGATCCAGGGCTGGGGACTTAGCTCAGTGATTCCTGTGCCTGCCTCACAAGCGCAAGGTACCGAGTTCGATCCCCAGTACCAAAAAAGAAAAAAAGGGACCAGATCTTTAAGGGAGAAACTGAGACAGTGATGAGGACTGTGGGAAAGAAAACCCAGAGTCCTACAGAAGCACAAAGGAGGCACCTGACCCAGCCTGGAGGACAAGGTAAGCCTTGTGGGGATAGGGAAGATTCCAAAAGGCATTTCTCTTCCAGCAAACATCAAGAAAGGGGACTTAGGTGGCAATGGTCTCAGGAACAAGCTATCAGTTGAGTCTGCTGCCCCTCTTCTCCCCAGGCATCGCTTTCTCCAATGAAGAACAATGGAAGGTCCTGAGAAGGTTCTCGGTCCAGATTCTCCGGAACTTCGGGATAGGAAACAGGAGCATTGAGGAGCAGATCCTGGAGGAAGGCAGGTTCCTGCTGGAGGAGCTGCGGAAAACTGAAGGTCGGGTCCCTGAATGCAGTCTGCATCCCTAAATCACATTTGTCCTACTTGGCGGGCGGTGCTAGGAAGTAACATAGCAGGGGCGTGGACACCAAAGTCACTTAGACGCAATGCGGATGGCGCCCCCTAGAGGTGGGTCGGTTCATGGCTCCACATCTCCAGGATTGGTGAGGTTGTTTCCAGTTTCTATGGTGTCTTATGAGCCTTGCTTTTGTAATGGTGGTGGATGATTATAAGAACTGACCACATATGGAGCCTGGTCCTGAGCATGTTTTCACACATTAGGTCTGTAAGCCTCGGGACAAGCCAAGTGCAGATGAGGAAATGGAGCACAGAAGTTAGGGGACTGGCTTTAAAGTAACAACGCTAGTAAGTAGAGGAGCCAGGCTTTAAATCCAAGTCTGACACCCAAGTCCACATTCAACACATTAATGTCACAGTGTATTGTGTGCTTACTAGATACCATCCATTCTGCTGAACTCTAGAGCCTTGAGCTAGTTTCACCCTACAGCAATCCTAAAAAGTCAGTATTTTTCCAGATGAGGAAGCTGAAGCCCAGAAAGGTTAAGCCATGTGCCCAGGAAATGGCAGAGCCAGGATAAAAGCCCGGGGCAAAACCTCTGACCCAGGGGGAAAAAAAACCATAAGAAAAATAAGCAACATGGAGCTGAAAGTGTAATGGTGAATGCTTGCCTCACATGTACAAGACCCTGGATTCCATCCTTAGCACCATCCTCCCCAAATAAAATGAATAGCCCACAGTTATGGGGTGTCTACCACATGCCAGCACTGTTCCAAGAATTTTGCATGTATTATCTCTTTGAAAAATCACCCAAATCTAGGAAGCAGGTCCTATTATCAGTCCCATTACAGGAGAGGAAACTGAGGCACAGAATGCTAAACAGTCCTCTTCTCTGATCTCCATATCTTGTTGGCTTTGGGCAAATAATCATAATAATATAATAATAATGTGGCAGGTGATATTGAAGAAATTAAGTGATACGAGTGAAATCATAATAGCTGCCTATACTAATTTCTTATTCCTGTTATAAAAAAATTTCCATAAAGCCAAGTGGTGGTGCATGCCTATAAACCTAGCACTTGGGAGGCTGAGGCAGAAGGATTGCTGCAAGTTTGAGACCAGCCTGGGTTACATAGTGAGTTCAAGACTAGCCTAAATTGAATAGTGAGACCTGTCTCAAAAAAAATTTTTTTTTAAAAACTTGCCACAAATATATTGGCTCAAAACAACAGATTTAGCCAGGGATTTAGCTCAGTAGTGCCACACCTGTCTGGCAAGTGCAAGGTCCTGAGTTTGATTCCTGGTACCAAAAAAAAAAAAAAAAAAAAAAGATTTATTCTCTTACAGTTCAGTAGGTCCAGAATAAAAAATGGGTGAACAAGAGAAGAGTCAGGTCACAAATGAAGAAAAGGCAGTTCTGGAGCAGTACATTGAAGAACCTCTAAGTCAAAAGCCACCTGCAGACGCCAATGTGGAGTGTTCAAGTGACGGGGTTCCATTTTTCCAGCATAAAAAATCACAGGGAAAAGACAAAGAAAACAACCATTAACCCAATGGAGAGGTGTAAAGTGGAAGAAACTACAGAACACTCTGTCATGAAGAGCAGATTACCACTTCAAGCTTAGAGAAATCTTTGGTTAACTCGAGGCTTAGATGATTTTAAATAAAACCTGAAGCCTCAGAACTTGAGCCTTATGTACTGATTAAAAAGGAATGGAGTATATCAAGACAGCTAGTAAATGTAGTTAACTTTAATATCTACCCATGTTTTGGTCATCTTTGTAATTCCCTGTGTATTAAACTGGGTTTCATTTGGGTATTTGAATTGAGTAAATGTTTCTAGCTTTAAAAAACAAAAATGGGTCAGCAGGACTGCATTCCTGTGGGAGGATTTGAGGGAAGATCTCTGTTCTCGCTTTTTCTAGCTTGGGAGGCTAATGGTTCCTGGGCCCTTCCTCTATGTTCAAAGCCAGAAAGATGGTAGCTTCCACACTTCCAGCTCTCCCCACCCCCCACCCCCCCATCATCACATTACCTCTTCTTAATTTTACAAGGACTCTGGTGATCACATTGGGCCCACCAATAATCCATAGTAATCTTCTCATCTTAGAATCCTTAATTGCATTTGCAAAGTCCCTTTTTCTATGTAAGGTAAAAGGTTCCATGCACAGGTTCTAATAATAGAGACACAGACATCTTCGTGGGGCCATTATTCACCCTAACGCAGCGCCATGGTTTGTGAGTCTCCTAATAGGTTAGGCCTCAGCTAAGGCCTTTCCACTGTCTTCTTATAACAGCCTCATGAGGAGAGGACTGGCACCAATGCATTTTAAAGATGAGAAAACTGAGGCTCGGAGAAGACAAGTCAGTTGGCCAGGTCACTTCAAGGTTGAGGAGTCTGGGGCCAGGGATTTAGCTCAGTGGTTTTCCCACCTGCTGTGCAAGCGCAAGGACCCAAGTTTGATCCCTGGTACCAAAAAAAATATTAGGAGTCTGAACCAGGATTCAAACTGAGTCCAACATCAGACCTGGTTTTCTGGGCTGTACTATCTGCACTTGATCTTAGCCAAAAGGCCGAGAAGCAAAGGGCTGTGCTATCTGTCTTGGCTGCTGTGTTGCTTTAATATTTGTTTTCTGTGCTCTGTCTATTGAATTACTAGATGTTAGCTATTTCTGTGGGAGCTTTCCTTTTTTTTTTTTTTAGTTTTTATTTTGGAGACAAGTTCTATGTACTCCAGGCTGTCCTTGAACCCAGGCTGGTCCTGAATTTATGATCCCTCTGCCTCAGTCTCCCAAGTGCTGAAATTAGATCACCACACCCGGCTCTGTGGGCTCTTCCTAAGGTTGGGGTGTTGTCAGACACTACATGTGATATTGCATGGTGCTGCCTGCTGTGCTGCCAATGTTGCTATGTAGTGTGTCAACCCTTTGCCTGGTTGTGTGTGTTGTCACATACCGTGCTCTACAGTCTGCTGTACACTTGTGTGTTGTGTTGCAGGAGGATGTTGCTCCATGCTGGTTATTGTGTGTCCATACATTGTTACCACGTACTGGAATATTTCTCAGCGGGCTGTGAGGTCCCTGTGCCTATAATTGTGTATTGGCAAGTATTGTGGTTGTATTTACTGAGCATTTTGTTGCCATGTTGTTATGTGTTCTGCTTGATGATCGACACTTGCTATGGTGTGTGTGGTGTGTTTTGTCACCAGGACCAGCCTGTTCTGGTGTTGGGTGGTGTGTTTACCGATGTACTACAGGGTGTGTGGGCTCTGTGCTGTCCCTGTCACTGCCAAACACTCTTGGGGATAGGATGCAGCATGCTGGGTGGCCATGTGCGAGAGTCTGTGCTGCAGGACAGGTTGTCGTGGTTGGACCGGACACTATATTAGGGCTGTGGCTGCCTGTAGTCTGGTGGGTTGCATACTGAGCTGACCCATTCTGCCCCTCACCCTCAGGCAATCCCTTCAATCCCGTTTATGCTGAGCCACTCGGTGTCCAACATTATATGTTTGGTGGTCTTCGGCAGCCGCTTCCACTATGATGATGAGAGGCTGCTTACCATTATCCAGCTAATGAACGACAACTTCCAAATCATGAGCATGCTCTGGGGCGAGGTCAGTAGACTGAATTCAGTGGGGTGAACGGGGTCCAGTGGCCAACAGGAAGCATCTGGTGGGGAAGAAACTGGGCTTCAGACCGCCCCCACCCAGTTTCACAGCCATGCCCGTCCCCCTCCGCAGTGAGTCCTGGGGCACCCAGCCCCGCCCCCTCCCTCCCTCCTTCAGACCCGCTCCCAGGCTACCTGATCCACTTGCCTTGCCCCTCCCTGCTCCTGACCTCACACCCGGCCTGCTCCTCCAACCTCCTCCAACTCTGCCCCGTCCCCAGCTGCACAACATCTTCCCGAGCCTCCTGGACTGGATGCCCGGGGCCACACCGACGCATATTCCAGAACTTTGGGCGGATGAAAGAGCTCATCGCTCTCAGCGTCTGCGAACACCAGCCCTCCCTAGACCCCAATTCTCCCTGGGACTTCGTCGACTACTTCCTCACCAACATGGCACAGCTAACCTCTGCCTGGAAATCTCACTTCTGGTCTGACCCGAAGCCTTCCTACTGCCCGGGCCTCAAACCCAGGGGGACCCTAGATAGAGGGGGGCTGGGGACTTAATCCGGGAGGAGAAGCTATGGCGGCTGGGTTTGCTGGGCCCTTGCCCAGAGCCACCAGCAATTAACAACTCCTTAAGAAGTTGTTAAAGCCTGTTAATCGTGCCCTGCCTCGGAGATTTTTCCTACCCCGCCCTTCCACGCTCCCCAAGGTAAGGAAGCTAATGAGAGGAGGGGCCGACTGGCCCCCCGGACACAGCGGGGGGGGGGGGGTTCTCATGGTCTCAGGGCCCGTGGTCACGGTGGGGATGGAATCGCCTGGCCCCGCCTCATATCTCCACCCCTCAACCCCTCCAGAAGAAGCAGGACCTGTTAAGCCACTTCCACATGGATACCTTGCTGATGACCACACACAACCTGCTCTTTGGCGGCACCGAGACAGTGGGCACCACGCTGCGCCACGCCTTCCTCATACTCATGAAGTACCCCAAAGTGCAAGGTGTGCCTGCGGCTCACCAGCCCCGAAACCAGCCTGACCCACCCACCGGCCCGAAGGAGCCCCGGGCAAGGCCTAGGTCTCCCAGCCAAACCCACTAGGAGGCCGATCCCACCCGTAGGGTACACACAGTAGCGCTCCATCCGGCCCACACAGCCTTGAAACTGCCCATGCCGCCTGCGTCCCGAGCCCCACTCACCCTTCCCGCCCACGACCCCAACCCCTGCTGCACATCCTGACCCGCCCACACTGCGCGTCTGCGACCCCACCGCCTTGCTCGTTCTGACTCCAGCCCTGCCTCACAGCGCACCTATTGGATTCACCAGCCTCCCCGTCCACTACCCAGAAGCCCCTCCCGAATCCCATCAGGGTCTGGGTTCCAGGTGCCCTGAAGCCCCGCCCGCACAACCCTTGCTTTGCAGTCCACACACCCGCCTTCAGGAGCTCAGGCTAAGCCTTAGACGCACCCTGCGTGGGAGGCTGAGGCTGCAGGCAGGGTGGGACTAGACGTCTCCTCCACCCACGCTCTCTCCGCCTGTCCCCTCCTCTCCCCTCCCGCTCAGCACCTCCCCCCTCCACCCCGGCTGCCGTCGCTGGAAGACCGCGCGGCCATGCCTTACACTGATGCGGTGATCCATGAGGTGCAGTGCTTCGCAGATGTTATCCCCATGAACTTACTGCACCGCGTCACTCGGGAGATGGCCTTCCGCGGCTTCCTGCTACCCAAGGTGTGCTAGACACCTGGCAAACGACATCAGGCAACTCACACTCATGCAACTGGCAAGGGGTACCCTAGGGCCTAGCAATCGACTCCCCAGGCCTTAGCAACTGACATCCCGCGCCCTAGCAATGGACACATATCTGAGATTCTTAGATCCAGAACCTCAGGACCCAATACCGTACCACAGTGGACTGGATCCTGTCCTAAACTCCATACCCCTTCCCTATCACAACTCCCCTTCCTAGACCCCTCTCCAGAATCCCTGGGGTCTGGGACTTGATCCTCTCAGCGGGAACCCCAGGTCGAGTGCTACGTTCCGCCCCATCCCTCTTGCCTATCCCCAGGACCTCAGGCCTGTAGAGTGGAAACCCTACTTCGGAAACCTCCCAGCTAGCCGCTCATCACCCTAACATCACCCCTTGTCGCTCACACAGGGCACGGATGTCATCACCCTGCTCAATGCACTATGACCCCAGCCAGTTCCCAAAGCCCCAAGAGTTCAACCCCCAGCATTTTCTGGATACCAATCAGTCCTTCAAGAAGAGCCCTGCCTTCATGCCCTTCTCAGCTGGTGAGGGCAGGAGTCAGGGTTTTTTTTAACACTAGTCTAAATTCCACTATCCAAACTTCTCACCTCAGCTTTGGATGCAGAGACATCCATTCATCCATTCATTCATTCATTCACTTCCTCTCCCAACCCTGCTCCTGAGTAAATCATGATTAAAACCCTTGCGGAGGGCCAGGGATTTAGCTTAGTGGTTCTGCTGCCTGCCTTGCAAGCACAAGGTCCTGAGTTCAATACCTGGTACCAAAAAAAGAAAAAGAAAAAAAAACCTTATGGAGGGAGGAGGTGGGGCGGCAGATTGACTATTTAACTCGAGTGTTCATTGTCAGCCTCTCCACTGGGTGGCGGAGTTGACGTAGTACCAGCTTTTCTTGGCTCTGCTCTGCTGGAAAACAATCCTCGTTTACTGAGTAGCAGGGGGAAGTGGAAGGGGTTAATAAGTGGTAAATTCACATATTGCCTACTCTATGCCACAGGCTGCCGCTGAGAAGAGTTACAAAGGTGGTGGAAAAGAGCTGGGCAGCTGTGTGATATTGGATACGTTATTTCGCTTCTCTGAGCCTCGATTTCTTTATAAACTACGCTCACCTTTTGGAGTTGTTAGGATTAATTAAAAGCAGGATTTAATGAGGAGCTTAGAGACTGCACAGAACATAGAACTACATAAGAATCACTGCTTTTAAAAAAAGAATCGCTGCTTTGCTTTTGGGGGGTTTTTTTTGGCCTCAAACTTATGGCAATCCTCCTGCCTCAGCCTCCCGAGTGCTAGGATTACAGACGTGGGCCACCACACCCGACCACATTCTCACTGTTTTACCTGTATTTACTATTCACAACTTCATGAGATACTACCATCATCTCCATTTCAAATACTCAAAAAATCCTAAGAGCACAGAAGTAGCCTTGGCAGAGCCAGGATGTGAACCAGGCATTGCACCTCTATTGGCCAGCTAGTTGTGCTTTACCATTATTTAAAGCATCTTTCTTTTCCAGACCTTTGGATGGGTCTGAGGGTTCCCCCACCATTGTCTTCATATCGGGTTTTCCCTTGAGGATCTGGGTGCAGCCTTTTCCCCTCTTATCTCACCGCTCCTCCCCACTCCCCACCCCCAGGGCACCGACTGTGCCTGGGCGAGCCCCTGGCGCGAAAGGAGCTCTTCCTCTTCTTCACCGCCATCCTGCAGAACTTCACACTGCAGCCGCTGGTGGCGCCCGAGGACATCGACCTGACCCCGCTCAGCAGCGGTCTGGGCAGTTTGCCACGGCCCTCTGAGATGTGCTTGAGCGTGCGCTGACGCCCGGCCCTTCAGGATTGGCCTGTGAGCGGCCAGGCCGGCCGGCGCGCCGGGTCGGGTCGTTGGGGCCTCATCCGCCTCGCTGTCAGTCTCTTCCCTGCACCTGGGCCTGCCCCGTGCCCGTCCTTCATCCCTCCTCTCTGAATCCCACCTGCACGCGGAGGAAAACGGGAATGGGAAGGGTGTCTTATTCCAACAGAACTTGATCTTTGATGCCCTTTTTTCTCTTTGTATCATTTTCTAGCAAATTATGTTTGTACGATCCAAACCTGTCTGGGCTGATGAATTAATGAAGGAGGACAGTCTCGGGTGGGGAGAGAGAAGCCTGGCTGCAGAGAGGAGAGACACCTGTGACTAATGGTACCATCACCTTCAGGGCGGCCACAGTACCAGACAGGGTTTCTTGGTTTCCTGGAGAATGGAGGCGAAAAGACGGCAGCCCGGAGAGACCAAACGGGCGTCCGTGAGAGATGTAAGCAAGATTGTGAGGGCCTGAGAAAAGATTAGGCGTACATGGTGCTTCCTATTCATTTAATTCTCCCCTCCTTGTGAGGCAAAGCAGTTATTTTTATCACATGTTTACAGATGAATAAACTGAGCCTCAGACAGGTGAGATGACTTGTCCACGATCACACAGCAGAGATGGGCAGAGCCTGGATCTCAGCAGTCCGGCCCCAGGCACTGGGCTTGGGACCACCACCCTTCAATCTCTCAAGTCAGAGACAGAGGAAGATACTGTCAGAACAACACGAACGGATACAGAGAGCGAGACACCAGCAGTGAAAGGGGGAGAGAGAGACAGAATGTGATTGGGAGAGGGGAGGAAAGTGGTAGGAAGAGGAGAAAAATTATAGGAGAGGAAGGGCAGTGAATGGGGCAGTGAGGCACAAGGTAAACTGTCCCCACCCCACTCCTCTTGCTGGACCATTCCTTTGGACTGCAATTCCTTCCTTTGTGGGTAAGGACAGCAGTCTCGGGACTCAACATAACACCCTGACATCCTACTGACAGGAGATTTTCTTGCTGGAGGGGCATCAGGAGCTGGGACGTGGTGTTAAAGACACCGGACTGGCCGGGTGAAGCACACAGCTCCTTAATCCCCACAGGTGGACCAGTCTGCCCCAGGGGCCAACCAGGTACTCAGATGGGGAGATGGCAAAGAGAAACAGCTCTAAGAGACAAGAAGAGAGTGAGGAACAACAGAGAAAGACCTTGAAAAACAAAGACTGGGGATAATACAAAGAGAAAGTGTGACAGGAGGACAGAGAGTCACTGAGAACAGGGAGAGGCAGATGCCAAGGGAGAGAGAAGACAAGGAGATTCTAATACAGAAACAAATTAAGAGAGGGACCGAAGCCAGGTACAGTGGCCCACGCCTGTAAACCCAGCTACTCAGGAGGCTGAGGCAGGCAGGAGAATCACAAGTCCATAGCTAGCCTGGGCAACTTAGGGAGACCCTCAAAATTAAAAGGGCTGGGAATGAGGCGAGTGAGAGACGAGAGAAAAAGGAAAAGCAAGATAGGTGGACTGGGGAAATAGAACAGAAAAATTAAATTTGAGACAAAAACAGGGAGAGTCATCCAACCACGCAAATGCAAGTGTTTACTGAGCACTTATTATGTGCTAGCACTGTTTTAGGTGCTGGGGTACAGATATGAACAAAACAACTTTTATTTATGCTGCGGTTTGAACCGAGGACCTGAGATACATCACCAGCCCTTTTATTTTGAGACAGGGTGTCACAAAGTTGTAAAGTTGTCAGAACTGAGCTCAAACTTACGCTATCCTCCAGCCTCAGCCTGCCAGAATGCTAGAATTACAGGTTTGCATCACCATGCTCAGCAAAATCTCGACTCCTGAGGAGCTGGCGTTCCAGAGGGCAGCCCAAATCAAGAGGAAAGAAGAGCGAGCCAGGAATTGAAGAGAAAGCCAGAGACCCAAAGACAGAAGACTCCTCACAGAGGCTGACCCACAGGGTTGGGATGGGGTCAGAGAGGGCACAACTTACTGCACCAGAGGCACCCCAGCCCTCAGCAGAGGCAGCACTTCAGAGAGGTCCAAGCCTCAACCCTTACCAGTCAACTGGCTCCTACAGAAAGGCTGACAGGAGCCAGGGAAGGGGGCCCACACTGCAATCCCAGCACACTGGGAGGTTGAGGCATTTGGATCATGAGTTTCAGCCCAGCCTAGACAATTTAGCAAGATCTTGTCTCAAGGGGGGGGGGGGGGGGCTGGGGATGCAGCTCAGTGCAAAGGTGCTGGGTTCAATCCCAAGAAAAAAGAAAGGGAAAGGAAAAGGGGAATGGGAAAAAGGAAAAAGGAGAAAAGGCAGGCAGACAGGCTAACAGGTCAGAAGAGCCTGCAGAAGAAGATAGGACACACAGAGAGTGAGGTCAAGACAGACTAGAGAGATACTCAGATATTCTGCAGACAGTGAGGACATGACAGAGGCAGAGACAGAAAAACACACAGAGAAAGGGAAAAGTAGGGAGAGAAAAATGAGCAGGGGAACAGAGAGTGAGGACCTGAGATAAAACACAGATTGACAGAAATGCTAAGACACTCCCACTCTGCAGGGCCCCTGACCAGTGCAGGGAAGAGCACCAGATGGACCACATTCAGAAGCAGTCTTAGTACTGACTCAGCCCCGCCCATGCATGCCTGCATCCCCTCCACCCTGTGCCCTTAATGGCAAGGCGAAAATGAGGGATGTCTGTCCATCGTGACCTGGCCTCAGGTAGGGGTGCCTACTGAGAAACTTGGGGGTCTGGAGGCCAGAGTCCAGCAGCAGGTTCACAGGACGAGTGGGGGCACCTGGGAGCCACAGCCTTGAGATCAGAGATGGCAGTTCTGGGCAGAGCATAAGCAGAGGTACAGCTGGCTTGGGGTATGAGAATGCATCCAGCACAGGAGAGGCACTGAAGTTCTACGCTGATGGGCCCGGGCCAGGAGACATGCGTGCAACCATCAAGGAGACAGGTGTACCATACAGGGTACCAAGAGCAACAGAAGTAGCGAGGGCTCTGGGCATGTGAGTGCTAGGCCAAAGTACCTTTCTAAGCATATTCGGGAATCAGAGGTACAAGATAGGTCATTCAGGGGCACAGGCCAGAGGTGATGAAGGGATTACACACTCAGACTAAGATGGGCCCCAAGGTACTCCGGGCTCAGGAGGGCGCACCTGGCCAAGTGAGCTGGCGTGAAAATGTCAGGCACTCGCGTGCACATGGACATGCAAAGCCAGGGGAGCCAGGGCCCAGAAGCGACAGGCCTGGGGGGTCAGGTAGGGACTTGTTCAGGGATGGGCAGCTCACAGGCACTCACCCTTCCCACACTAGGTTTTCACCCCTGCTCCAACCCAAAATCCCACAGAAATCAAATCATGGTAAGGGACACCAGCATGGAGGCTCTCAGGCACAATGATTTGAGCGTGGCTGCTGCAGCTTCTAGTGCTCCTGCTTGTGTCCTGGGCTGGGCTAAGGCACTCAGAAGCAGCTCACTCCCTTGCCCAAGGCTCCCAGGGCAGGGGAACTCGCTGCCGCTGATGTCTGGGAGCCTGAACCCTGCACTCTTGGAGGCAGCCCCGGAAGTAGATGGGGAAACAGAATTTCGGGCACGTCCAAGTAGGGTTGCAGGTTAAAACTCCTAGTTCACTGAATGAAGACAGCTGAGGCCAGGGGCCTGGACTCACAGGTCCCAGGGAAAAGGAGGATGAAGGCTGTGGAGGAGGGGATCTGGAGCTTGGACCAGGTCCTTCTGCACACCAGCTCCTCACAGCTCTCCCACTGCTGGCACCACATTCAGTGTGGCTGGGACCGCATGCTGCAGCAATGTTCAAAGCTACAGGATGCATTAGTACTACACACAGATACCTTCTCTGGCCGCTGGGGCTCAGCAGTTTGGGAACATTTCCTTACATGGAGTTGGTGAGGCCTATGAGATGGAAGCAAGGACTCAGACCTGCCAGTTTGGACAGATAGAGTGGAGCCGGGAATATGGGGTAAGGCCTAACAGAGAATTCAAAGCCACCAAGGGCAAACGGTGAGGCAGAGCTAAAGTGGAGGGGCCCAACTGAGGTTTATGGCAAAGACAGAAGGAAAGAACAGCCTAGAGTCAAAGTTTTAAAGAGCAGACACAGGTGAGAGAGTAGGACCAGCAAAGGTGGGCTCAATGTGTTGGGTAAGACCAAGGCGGGTAACTAAGGAGTCTGGGAAAGAAACAAAGTGAAGGACTGAGAGGAAGGAGACTCCTGGAGTTCCCTAGAGTTCAAGACCCTAAAAAGTGTGCAGCCAGTGACTGGGTGCTTTCTGGATGGGTCTCACTATGGAGTTGAGGTTGTCCTCAAACTTCCTGGTACTATATACAATGTAATCTATTCCACAGTCTTCGGAACCAGTACAGCAATGGGTACCTGGAGTTCCTAAGACTCTGATTTTTTTTTGGGGGGGGGGGGGAGACAGGGTCTTGCTATGTAGTTAAGGCTGGTCTCAAACTTGCAGCAATCCTATCCTCCTGCCTCACACGTGTGCACCACCACACACGGCTGTGAAGCCCTTAAGTGACAATTTCCACATCATCCATTCCAAATGGGGTGAGAATTGGCTCCAACCTCTCCTAAATGTGCACAACCTTTGTATGATAAATCTGAGCATACAACCCTGCCCACAATGGACCGTTAGAATGGGTCTTAAGATTCTTGAATGGTGGAGGGGGGAAAAAAAAAAAAAAGATTCTTGAATGGGCCACACATGGTGGCACCTGCCTGTAATTCCAGCACTCAGGAAGCTGAGGCAGAAGGTTCCATGTGAGTTTCAAGTCAGCCTGCCTGGTCTATACAGTGAGTTCAAGGTTAGCCTGATCCACATAGCAAAACTGTCTCAAAAAAAAATCTTCAAAAAGGATTCTAAAACCCACAAAGTCATGACCCAGTCTCCCCATTGGGAAACCAAGGCTTGGCAACTTTGCTCAAGACCCTATTAAAATTGCTTCCCCAAATGTTTCCCACTTCCCCCTCCCTCCTGGACTGCGTTCTGGGGCTGCATCACTGAAAATCTCAAAGACCTCCAAGTCTTCATGTCTGAGCAAATCTGGCAGCACCAGCAGGCGTGGTAGTCCAAAGAGATCCACAATTTCATCAACTGCTTCCTTGTGCAGGTCCCCAATACCTTCCATACAATCCCTGCTGCCCACCAGGAGATAACCAGAACTGGAAGCAGCTCTCTACCTGCAGAACCAGGAGGACCCAGCAAGCTACTTCCAAAAGATGCCAGTGATGACAACACAAGACCTCTTCTTAGGTGACTCAAGAACCACCTGCATTACGGGCTTCTCATTCTGCTCCAGTGCCCATGAAGGCCAGTCTGGGCAACATACCAAGACCCTATCTCAAAACAAATACAATGGGCCTTGTACTGAGCTGTACAATCTTCAGGATTCCCCAGGTTTCATCTTTGCACTGAGACCCCTCCCCTTCAATTCAAAGATCCGGTTTCCTTCAACCCCACCAACTTCCTGTGACTTCCAGGCCCACAGGGAGGGGGCCAACCTGGACTGGCCCTGGGGAACATCTAGGGGCTCACCATGTACCCACATCCCCCAAAGAGCAGATGTGCCCAGAGGCAGGCCTGGCCTCCTTGGAGATCTCATCTTCTTTACAGTCAACCTGCAAAAGTTCTACCTGTTCCCTGTGAGGAGCCCCACCAATAACCTCACTGCCCCGTGCCCTGGCCTATGCAACGTCCCTCCAGCCTTCCAGCTCTGCCTGGTGGCCCACTGAGTTCAGCCAAGGCAAGTTTCACAGGCCAAGATCTCCTTAACCCCTTAAAGGCCCCATACAGCAGACGGAGGAGGTCTCATTATAGACAGGCAGTCAGCTGTGTGCAGCTTTGAGGTAAACTTTTATTTCTTGGCTGACAGGACTTTCACACCCACGATCCTCCCAGGACCTCACTCTGCCCAAGCAGCAGGGGCCCTGTCTGAAAGGTGCCATAGCCAAAGGGGTTAGGGAGTCACTTCACATTCCAGGCTGGAGGAGTTGGGTTGGTGGGGCCTTGGGGCTACTCCTCTCCAACCCCAAACCTTTGCCAGCAAGAGGCCATGACTCACCTCAACTCCAAATCCTGCCTCCCAGATCTCCATACCCAGTGGGGTAAGGACCAGACAGGACAGAACACAAGCTCTCAGCTTCAGTAAAGGTGGTCCCCAACACTGGCTACTGCCCATGTCACAACCCAGCCCCACTCATGGGGCAGCAGAGGTCTCTCCTCCTTGGTCCCCATCAAAGCCCAGAGCCGTCCACACCAGGTGGGACAGAGGCAAGCCAGAAACAGCAGCAGAGGCAGGAAAGGAGCAGGCACCCAGACTGGCAGGCTGCTGAGAGGGCCCCGGGCTCTCCTGAAGTCGAGTGAGCAGTCGGTCCATGCAGCTCTGGGGCTGGCCACTAGGTGGGCGTTGTTGGCTGTGATACAGGTACCTGGACACCTTTCTGTCCAGATGCTGAGGGCGAGAGGCAGGAGAATGTGTCATCAGGGAAGGGACAAAGAGGCCAAAGGAAACCTGGGAAAATGGGGAGAGGATCGGGAAGAAATGGGGCTCTTGGTGGGGGGTACAAGGAAAGGAAGCTGGCTAGGAAGAAATGAGGATGAGTGAGTGGTAGGACTAAGAAACTGCTAAGGGGCTTGAGGATGTAGCTCAGCGGTATAGTGCTTGCCTAGCAGGCACAAGGCCCAGGGTTAGATAAGGGAGGGGGGTGTTACAATGAGGTGGATAGGTGGCTTAATGCCTGTTGGAATACAGGAAGTAGGGAGGGATACAAGGCAGGAAGAAGCAGATACCTAGCTGATATTTGTCTTTGGCTGCTGCCCGCTCCTTGGCATCAAAATACCAGACAGTGATGGCGTACCTGGGAACCAGGGCAGCTGGGATGAGTTTTCTCCAATTCCCGTCACCATCTCAATAATGACTCAGTCCACCCACCCTTTTGAGCCACCTTGTTCTGTGCCCACCTAGGCCGTCAGCATTTCATCACTCTAGAGGCACAGGGGGAGCACCTGAGCACATCCCCAGAAGTATGGGTCATACCTGGTGCCATAGGCTGGCTTCACTTCATGAGGGTTCCTTCGGTCAGACCAGAAAATAAGCAACCGGTCAAAGAGTGGCTCGATGTTGGCTACCACAGGCCGGCCCTCAGGGAAGATCTGCAGCAGGCCACCATGCACCTGGAGACAGGCCAGAAGACAGAGCTGGCTGCTCAGCCTGGAGCAGCACCTTGCATTGTGCCTAGGTGTCCACCAGGGGGTGCAGCACACATCACTCCCTCCCACCATCCAGCTCTTGAATGACAGCCCAGAGTATGCATTACCATGGAGATGGGCAGGAAGCTACTAAAGACAGGAAAAGGGGGAGTGTGTTCATAAGCAGCCAAGGCCACTCCCAGAGAGTTCTCACCACACAGCCAGCTACAGAGAAGGTGCCATTTAACAGGAAGGACCCAGACTGTCAAAACCACCCCCCAAGGGCTGAGAACAGGAATAGGGTAGAATGTGAGCCAAGAAGAATGGAGTGGATGCACACCGCCCTACCTCCACACTCTACCTTAACATCCCAGTTCTGATTCAGGTAATAGATACAGGTGATGCAGCGCCCATCGCCGTGGGGATTGTCAACATGCCTCACGTACCCCAGTCCGCTGCCTGGGTAACACGCCACCATGGCCTGGCAGAGATGGAGGAAGGTAAGGTTTACTGAGGCCAGGAAGCAGTTATTACCCCTTGCTCACCCCTTTCTGTCGTCTTCCCTTTGATTTCTTGAGCGTCCTGGGGCTCAAAACCCCAACAGACATTCTTATATTTCAGCCAAAACTCCAAGCCCAGGTCCATTAGAAACCTCAGTTTCAGGGCCAACCCACTTTCTACAACACCCAGGACAAGCCACCTCTGGATGAGCTCCAAATTCTACCTCAGACATTTCAGTGGACCAGACACCAATTTAAGCATTTTCTGGTGTGTAATCCATGGCCTCACTGCCCTAGGCCAGGGTTCTCCCCCTTGGCTGTGGACACTGAGGCCTAGGCCCACCTCACAACAAATGTTCTCATGGACTGGGCTTGGACTAACCTAGTACCTGGGTTGTTTATAGGTTCTCCAGATAAATTCTACTGTTGGGCACTGCTACGTTGAGAACTTCTACCCTTGACTACAAAGAATCTAGCTAAATAAGTGATCTGTCCCATACACATGAACAGGAACCAAACCTAAAGTCTAACAGAAAGTGATCTAATTCCAATTCCAAGCTTGCTGGTAACTCTGGACAGTCACATCACCTGAATGGGCCTCAACTACTGCAACTGAAGAATGGGACTAACAAACAGGTTTGCAGCAGTAGCATTAAGCCCTCTGAGAATATAACTTTGGAAGTTCCAGACCACTACAGGTCTAACAGGTAGGACTCACTCCAGGTCCAGGTCTTGGCTTCAGAGTTCTTGTTTACTCTGACACTGCCACTCCCCAGCCCATCCCTGACCATGCTGCCTGAGGGCCTTGAGATGTTTGTCACCACCAGGTAACAGAAAGGTGGCTGTGGTGTAAAAGAAAGGACTCAGTCACTTTTGCAGATCCAATTCTATGGAAAAGGAGCTGAGACCTAGCCCTTAGTGCTGCCACATGAGATGTGACATTGGGGAAGTGACTAAATTTCGCTGCCTCAGGCTCTTCACCCATAGGAAGCAACTAACACTACTTCACAGGTTGTTGTGGAAACTGAACAAGATAGAAAATGTCTGGGATGACACCCAGCAGAGAAACTGCCACATGACAACACAAGTTGAAACCATTAAAAGAAAGAGAAGTCCCTGTCCCACTCTGTGCCCAAACCCACTGGGAGGGATCGATGAGGTACTAGGCAAATAGGACAATTAGCCAGCACGAGGACCGTTCAGCTTCTCCCCCGTCGAGGACCACCTGTCTTGATCCTGCTACCCAGGGCTTCCCAGCAATGCTCAGCTACACCCACAGGCCTGGCCCAGCAGGACAGGCCCATCATAAACATTCATGATCAAACAGATCAGCGTATGCTCCCAAAACAGGAGTCTTGCCAAGCATTCCAAGGCAGGACAGACTGATTCAATCCTTCATCCTCCTCCCAGGTTCCCTCTCATTGCATTATTACCAGGGTTCACCCTTATATGGATGTTAAACTGCTTTTGCATCAAGCATGTGTACCTGATCCACTCCAGAAGCTGACCCAGGAAAGAGGCCAGGAGACTGGCACTAACCAAGACCACCCAGCAGTGGAGGGCTGACCTCTCCAGCAGCATCAGGATACAATGTGAGAAGGCCCACAAGGAAAACCGCCGCCCCTACACCCTGAGGTTCAGAAGGGGAAAACTTTGTTCTCATCACTCCCTGAAGATGGGATGGCACTCAGAGAAAGAATGTGGCCATGGCCCTAGTGGCCTGCAATCAATGAGTCACCGATTAGAGAAGGAAAAAGCCTCCCCAGCAGGGACTCCAATCACAGATCACACTGGCTCTGCACATGGATGGACATGTGAAGGGTAGTGTACACCCTCTTCCCCCCACAATCCATCCCCACAAAGCAGCCACAGGCCCTTTTCTCCAGGTTTTCAAAGTACCCCAAGAAAATACAATTTCCCAGTCATCACATACAAGGCCACAACCTCACTCTGCCCCTCATCACTCTGCTCTAAGGCTCAACAGACCTCATTCTCACCTCACAGTCTACGAACCTACCTGGGACACTCTTTCCCCTGTTCTCATTATGAGGACTCAGGTCAAGAGTCACTTTAAGACCTCTAGTTGTCTACTCCATTGCTCTCAACGTGAGGCACCTGTTTACCCACCACTGGTCTCAAAAACAGGCTCATCAAAGCCCCTGGGCCCAGGCCTGTCTCCCAGGTGCCCAGTGCATATCTGCTGACTGAGAGCACGCCTCTGAACCCCATCCCAGGAGGGAAAGCCTCAGCCATAGGAACAACAGGCAGAGGGGCAAGGGAACTTGCTCTCTAGCCCTCCCACCTCAGCAAACAGGCAGGTGGAATCAAGAGGCAGAACACTATAGAGGTTACTGATGACAACATGCCAAGAGCCCTATCACCCATACACATGCACACATACACACACATCCCTCAGAAGCCAGAGACTCATCCAAGCTGCCCATAAAGGGGTAAATCAAGTGAGCTGGACCCTCTTTGGTGTCCCCTCTGGTAGCCCTTGACACCACCAGGAGTGAACACTCAGCTCCAGGTCAACTGAGCAGAGGAACCAGGGAAAGGAGGGAAGGTACAACAGAAGAACACCATTCAGGAATGACTGAGCAGCAAGGTCACTGCTGGTAGTCACCACACTGGTGGCGCTCTCCACTGCCACTGCCTCTACCCACCCTCAGCACCAGCACCAGCCACACTCCAGAATCCAGGGAGAAGCCCAGAACACTGCTCTTGAGACACTGGAGCCTGGAGTTGCTAGAGAGGAACTCCAGTGACTGGACTGGCTCTTTTCCTCCCTTCCCCATCCAGCCTGGCCTGTTCTTACTTCCCCAGGTAAGTAGCGGCAACCGAGGGCTTTAAAAACCCAACAACTCCCCCCTCCTCAATTTTAGACTGGGTCTTATCCATAACAACACCTAGATAGGAACCAGAAGCCCCAAAGGGGAAGCCATCTGTTTCAACCTTCCCTCCCAAAGCTACCACAAACTAGTTGGGGACTTAAACCTAGTTTTCCTATTCTGTGGATAAGCAAACAGGCTCAGTGCTGTATCACCTTAGGCCACTCGGCTCTTCTGGAGTTCCCTAATTTCCCTCCTCATGGAGGACCAACACCAGAGTTGAACAATTGAGCCAGAGGCCACACTGATCTTGTCTGCAGAGGAGCCAAGCCAGGGAGGGGCCAGCTCTGGCTCACCAGCTATGAAGTAACAGGAGGGAGAGGGAAGTAGGCCAAATTACAGCTGGGATGGGGAGGAAATAGGCTTGGGCACTGGGGAAGCCTTGGTCCCCAGGCCAGCTTCAGTCTGAGAGGAAAAGCTGCATGGATGCAAAACTTGAGACGGCACCTGAGGAGGAGGGGACACCAGGAGCACAGCCTTCAGCTCACAGGACAGAACCCAGCCAGTGCCATCAGCTAGGCATCATGTACTGAGCAGCAGGCATTCCCACAAGCCTTGTCCAAATGATTCCATGAACTCAACCATTCCCATGAAGAGAATGATCATGTCAGCAGGCTGGAAAGTTTCTGTGGACCTATACAGGGCTCCCAGCCCTAGTTCTTGGGACAGCTGGGGGTCTGTGAGGCCCTGACAATTGCCCGTGAACACCAACAAAATGAACCCTTTGTTTACAAGAGGGTCTACAGCTTTTTGCAAAATCTCAAAAAGGCCCAGACTCCAAACAGAAATGAAGAATTACAACCCTATGGCTGGGGTGAGGGTATTAAGAGACACACAAAAGGAAGAGACACAAAGGAAGAGACAAACAAGAACATAAGAGGGAATGAGGTGACAAATAGGACAGAAAAATGGAAGACAAGGACTAGGACCAGGAGGGGTGGGAAAGATGAGAACAAAAACTCTAGCTGGGCCAGCAGGTAAACAACCGTTGCCAGGCCGGGGATTTAGCTCATTGGTTTCGCCGCCTGCTGCGCAAGTGTAAGGACCCAAGTTCGATCCCCAGTACCAAAAAAAAACAAAAAAACCGTTGCCACCATCTTCAATGCAGATGCTATAACAGGCCCACCAGGAAAAAATGTAGTCCAGGACAGATGCTCAAGATGGCAGGCAGGGAGCACCTACCTCCTGAGCTTTGGGATCACCTCACCACTACCACCCTTTCCCTCCACCTTCAAGTTTCCAACCTTAGAAACAGGATATTACCTATCCTGTTCACACGCCTGTGAACATAGACAGATGGGAGGATAGGGAAACAGGGAAGGCAAGAACAGAGATGGACAAAGACCAAAACATTTGCCTGTCTACACTGACTGCTCAATCTGGGGTTCCTAAACAAATACCTGGAGCCAAGAATCCTACCATGACCCATGCACAAGTGTGGGGCTGGGTCAGTAGCTCTCACCAGGCTCTCCAAAAGGACTCCTGAAAGGTGAAGAGCCACAGTGGTTCCAGGATAAACTTCTGATTTACAGGTGCATAAATCAAGGCCCACAGAGAAGATAGACTCCCTCCCCAGAACCCCCACAGATACATGAACCCCTCAGCTACAGCTGCCTAAACCCTTTTGTGGACACAGAAGCCAATGCAACTCTTATCAGAGCACTAGATACTCAACAAACAAAATGTGCTACGGCCAGGCTTTGTGGTGCTGTCTGTAATCCCAACACTCAGGAGGCTGAGGCAGGAGGATCACTATGAATTCAAGAGCAGCCTGGACTACATAGTGAGTTCAAGGGCAGCCTTAACTATAAAACAAGATCTTGTCTCAAAAAAAAAATAAAATAAAATAAAATAAAATAAAGTGCTACTGACCTCCCCTCCATAGAAGGCCCCCACCAAGCCTTACCTTGGTGCGCCCGTTGATGACGTAATTGCCCAGCCGCCCAGCACAATGGCGGATTACAGTGTCCACATGGGCCATGAGGGCACCAATGCTCCAGCAGCCTGGCTCGTGACCTTCTACCCAGGCAATCTGGTCCCCACGAATGCTACGTGGCGGGATAGCACGTTGGCTCACTAGCTGCCCATCACGCAGGCGCCCACCCCACCTCAGGGCCTCCACCTCAGCCAGCACACGGCCACCCAGTGCTGCTCCTAAGAAATTGTCCTTGACACAGATGCCGTAGTACCGCATGCAAGGCACAATATAGTCCAGGGCCAGGCGCTCAGGTGCAGAAGGCAGGGCTTCTGCCCTCAGCCTAGCACCCACTTCGCCACTACGGCTACTGCTGCTGCCCCTGCCCATGCCACCCTCCCCCTCTGCCTCCTGGTTCTCTCGCCTGGCCCAAGACCGTTTGGCAGGTGAAGGGGCATCCCCACCATCCTCTGCCCACTTCCGTTTTGGGGCCTCAGGCTGGGCACCCTGGGCTGCCAGTCGCTGGCACTCCTTGGTGACCAGTGCTGCAGCACCCTCACTCTGCAGTGCCCACAGCTCGCCACCATCCTGCCCACCAAAGCCCTCCCGCAGGGGACTGGCAGTGGTGGAGGTGGCTGTGGCTCTGAGGGTCCCACTCCCTGCCGAGGCTTCACCAGGCACTCCTGGACGGTGGCAGGAGGGGAGCAGGGGACTGGGCAGGTAACTCTCCACCCCCATCCTGGGCTGGCTGGGCTCCAAGGACTCAGACAAAGACACCGGCAACTGAGGGAGAGACTGATTCAGGGACTGCGGCTGGCACGGGCTGTCCATGGCAGCAATGTCTTCATCCCCCGGGCATGGAGGGCACGGCCTGGGCCCATGGTGACACCCAGCTCCTCCTCCTCCTCCTCCTCCTCCTCCTCCTCCTCCACTTGATACAGCTGGGGATTGCTTGGCCTGGTGCAGGGCAGGGTGAGGCAGTAGGAACTCCTCTTGTGCCCTAGGGATGCTTGCTGGTGCCCAAATTCACTGTTGTCTCTAGATGCTTAGGGTTGCTGGAGGGAAAGGAAGAGAAAAAGGGATGTGAGAACAGCTAGAAACAGGCAAGCTAGGGAACAGACAGATAAAAGATGACCAGGATACACTAGGCCTCAGTGACCCCGAACAACCTGAGGCCAAGTGAGGGAGACGACGCTGAGAATTTAAAGGGGTACGGCTGACAAGCAAAGGGCAGTGAAGGGTAAGAGCCAGAAGAAAGAAACGAGGTAGATGCCCAAAAACAAAGAACAGTAGTTTGGGGGGAGGGGAGAAAAGTAACCACAGAGAAGACGAAGGGGGGCTGGGGTAGAAAACAAATGGTGTAGGGGTGTGAAGAGTAAGAGATGTGCCTGGGGGCTCGAGCGAGACACAGAAAAGTGGGGATCTACAAAAAGGGAATGGGGGATACGAAAAAAGTCTGAGCTGGGAGGGATCAGGAGGCAGAGGAAACTCGGGAGTCCACAGACAAAGAGAATGTGGCCCCCAGAGACAGAAAAACAGACCAGAGGGAAACGGGGAGGGAAGGCCTGAGGCGGTCAGAACCAACAGGGTGGTAGGGTAGACCCGCGGCCAAGCGGAGGAAGCCTCCCGGGGGCGGACACACACCCAGACGGAAGGGAGGTCCGGAGTCAGATGGACAGGCGGAAGGGGGCCCGAGAGGAGGGTCCACGGTTACCGAGGGAAAGGCTAGGGGCTGGCGCACGGGCCAACAGGACCAGTGAGAAGGCGCCCCACTCCCAAGCCCCTGCCGCGCGGACCCAAGGCCCCCTCCAGCACAGCGGGCGAGAGGCCGGGCCTAGGGATGTCCCGGACCTAAGCCCCTCCCCCGGGCGCGCGCTGCCCGCCGCCCCGCCCCCCCCCCGTGGCCTGCACCCGGCGAGCCCGCAGCGCGCTTCCTCCCCCACCCTGTCCCCCGGGTCGCCACAGTCCGCCACCGCGTGCCCCCACGCAGCCCCACATCACATTCGGAGCAGGCTAGCGTCCCGACTCGGATCCTTCGCCTCCCTGTCCCCTTCCGTTCCTGCGACCACCTCACCGAGCTTTTTCTCCGGCCTCGGCGCCGCCGTTTATGCCAGCCGCCTTGCGCCGCACAGCACGCCATACCCCGCCCCCACCACCCGCGACGCCCCGCCCCCGCCTCGCCCGGTGGGCACGTGACCGCGTCCGCCGGACCGAGACGAAGCCTGCGCAGGCGCGAACGGCATAGGGCGGGGCGAAAATTTTCAGAACACCCCTCCCAAGAAAGGAAAAGTGGGCCCATCGCCAGCGCGAGGCTTATTTGCATTCCTCACCCCGCCTCTTTTGCCCGGCCGGATGAAGGTAGTTAAATGGATCAGGGAAGAGGCGTGTCTAAGGGTTAAACCAGCGGCCGTAGGAGGGGCATGCAAATGAGATTATTTACATGGAAAGACCCACCCTTAGGATAAGGCTGCTGAACGACTAGCCTCTGGGTTGCGGAATGACATGCAAATTATTTATTTACATAGGGAAATCCTCACAATCCAAAACAGGGATATTGAGAAACGGCCAGGCCAGTCGGAAAATGCGTGTGAAATGGCACTTCAGTGATTTACATGACCACATTTTATAATGGAGAGGAAGAGTGTGGTATGTTCTGAAGAGAAGGGGCCACTGGAACAGATGTGCAAATATGTCATATCTGCATGACCTGCCCAGCCTCCCCCTCAGGACAAGCACAGGAGTCAGAATAAAGCAACCTAGGACAGCTATGCAGAGAAGACATCTGAGTGAACAGTCCAGTCTCTCGGAACATTGGGCCACCCTTCCTGCCTCTGAGGTCTGTAAGGTCATTTTGAATGTCCCACCCCCTCCACCTATGACCAGGGAAAGCAGGGTGAGGCTGGGCTCAAGCATCTTTTGGGGTCTGGATACTGCTGACTTGGCTGACTTGATGGGAGAGCAGCTAGGATGGTGCCCTAGGGGCTGCACCTGTTCTTGGCAAGCCACATGAAGGCACCAGCAATTCACCTGCGCACAAGGCAGTCCACACCCTTCTCAAGTATGTACAAAATTCAGGGCTTGCCAAAGGTCCACAGCCCTGAAGGGCTCACAGAGGGCACACGGTCATACACTCTGAATAAAAGGAGGCAAATTTACACCAAAACACACACAGGCATCGGGGACGCAAGTGCACAGGAACACACCACAGCAGTGAGCCACTCCCCGAGTCTCTTGAGTTCAGACATGTGTAGGTCAAAGCAGGCACAGGCCTAGCACTCACTCACAGGCCCAGATTCCCCTTCCTCGGCCTTGGTGTACACACAACAGCCTCACCAACACAATCACCAAGGACAGAGAACTCACACGCAACAGTTTCACACGTTCCAACAGACACAGTCCCACGCACAGGTACTGGAAAGACTCATACACATGACACAAACACAGGGACATAAGTGTCACGCATGTAAGTCTCAAGCACCTAGGTCACAGTGTCCACACAATGACAAACTACCTCCACAAATTAGACACCTGAACTATGGTGTATCCTCAAGGTGTCCCCACACCAGGACCCATGATTCTTCCATCAGGGACTTCTCCCCAGCATCCCAAAATGACAAAGGCCAAAACACAGGTGTAAACAATGCTTTATGGGGGAGGAGTTAGGATGGGACAGGCCTCCAGGTAATAAATAACACGTACTCGAAACAGCAGGGCAAGGTGGGGCCAAATGGTCCTGGTCTCAGGCTTTGAGAACTCTTGGGGTATGACTGGGGGGACGGAGGTTAGCCAAGACAGAAGGAGCAGCTGCAGGTATGGGTTCCCCCTTCCCTGTGACTCAGTCTTGCCCCAAAGCCAGGCCCCACCTGGCCAGGGAAGGAGGACAGGTGGCGGGACACTTCTCTGGGGCTGGGGCAGGTTGGGGCACAGCCTCCTGGGGCCTGGGTCTGGGCCCCAGCCAGAAGGCCAGGGCTGGTCCTGGAGATCAGATGAGCTGAAAGAGAAGGGTATAGTGACCTGGAGGGGTCCTGGATCTGTCTAGCTGGTGTCTATGTCTCATTTCTGGGCATCTCCCTGACCTTCCAAAACTCTTCTACAAGTTTCTACATTGCCCGGGCATCTCTCTCTGTCTCTGTCCCTGTCTGTCTGCCCCCGCCCACCCCCGGTACATCCCTGCTTGCTTACCTCAGAGAGCAGTCTGTAAAAGGACAATTTCATTGTCTAAATATCATATCCCTACTTTTTTATCTCTGTGTCCTATGTCCCTGATCACTCTGGCTTTAGGCCTCCTTCTAGTGTTTTCCAAGCTGGAGAGACACAATAGATTAGTGCTTTTTGCTTTGATTGCATATAGCATTATCTAGAAGCTTGTGAAAATCTTAAAATTACTTCAAAATCTCTGGAGTAAGTTTGGGTAGCAGTACCTTTTAAAGCTCTCCAGATGATTCTACTGTGCAACATTGCATGGGAAGGGGGAATGATTTCGTGGGCCTTAGATAATTTTTTATTCCAATAGAATAAAATAGAAAATGTCAGACTGCATCATATGTAATAAGAATATTGGTCAGCTGGGCACAGTGGCACATGCCTGCAATCCGGACACTCTGGAGGCTGAGGCAGGAGGATCATGGGCTACAAAGCAAAGCCCAGGTCACCCTGGGCTACAAAGCAAGCTCAGGCTGGTCTGGACTACATAAGAAGACCCTGTCTCAATTAACTAAAAACAAGAAAAAATTGGTCAACAGAGACCGAAAGCAGAGTAGTAGTTGCCAGGGGCTGGGGAAATGGAGAATGACTGCTTACTGGTTATGCAGTTTTTTTTCTTTCTTTTGCAGTACCGGGGATCAAACTAAGGACCTTGGTGCAGTTTTTTTTTAAGGTAATGAAAATATTCTGGATCTAGACAGGGGAGGTAGTTGTACAACCTTGTGAGTGCACTAAATGCCACTGAGCTTTGACATGACTAAATTTATGTTCTGTGAATTTAACATGTTCCCACTGGCATAAACCACTGGTGGTACATGTATGACTGTACCACCCAATGGGACCATCCCATGTCACCCTATGGGACAGTCATGCATGCACCACCAGTGGTACAAGATGGTGGGACTATAACACATTCAAATAAGAGCTGCCCAGGGGCTGGGGATTTAGCTCAGTGGTTTCGCCGCCTGCCTCTCAAGCGCAAGGACCCGAGTTCAGTACTCAGTACCAAAAAAAAAAATCAACAACAACAAATAAGAGCTACCTGACAGCGAGACAAACAAATTATGGTCCCGTTGTGAATGTATTAATCTCAATTATTTAAAAAAAGAAAGACTACTGAGACTAGAAAAACATGTTTGAGTTTTATACATGAGTATGACTGTATTAGATCAACATATAAAAGTACAGTCAACAGTTCATAAAAGCACTGTCTTACTACACTTGACCCACTGAGACTCTATGCTAAGAGTACACATCTTCCATGTCTGCACAGCCCAGAGTCTTTAAGATGGATATGAAGGAATATAATAAACACCCCTGCTTATTGAGTCTTTACTAAGTGTTGGGCCCAATCTAAGAACTTTACATGAATTGATTTATTTAACATTCTCAACACCCATAAGAGGCAGGTACTATACAACTTTTGGCCCCATTTTACAGATGAGGAAACTGAGGCCCAGGCACAGAACATGCAAATGCCTGGCAAGATAGCACTGTCCAGAGAACTTATCCTTGACCCCGCCTCCCTTCAAATTCCATCAGGAAATCATGCTTCAAAATAGATCCAAAGTCTAACCACTTTTCCCCACAGCCTCCCTGGAGCTGTAGATGGCTGGGAGGGGGCTGGGCGGGAGGTACCAAGGGGAGAATTGGCGACACACACTCCCCCACAGAGGTGGGGAGGGGACCAAATCCCGCACGGTCTTGTAGGCCTGGAAAGGTGTTTCGATGAACCATGGAAGAACAAACAAGGCTTCCTGGAGGAGGAAGGGGGTTACCAGGGCAAAGAGAGAAGGAACGGTGTTCTAGGCAGAAGGCATAGCGTGAGCAAACACCACAGAGAAACAGACAGAACTTCAGTGTGGCAGGAGCTGCCTAAGGGGTGGGGAGAGGTTCGAGGTGAGGCTGAGGTGGCTGCAGGAGCCATTCCCTGCTGAGAGTCTAACATCAGGCTGAGCAGCTTCGGTTGGCTCCCAGGGGAGAGAGAGGAGAGAGACAGGAGCAGATTTTTGTTTTAGACCCTTTGGCTGCATCAAGATGGGACAAGACTGGAGACAGAGCCCAGACAGGAAACAATCTATCCACTGCTCAACCCCTCCGGCCCACCCCAGGCTGACCACCATCCTCTCCGGCCTTGACTTGGCAGCAACTCCTTAACCAGTGTCCCAGCAAACACCACTCCTCCATCTCTTCCCTGTATGCAGCCAGGGGGTCCTTGTGAATCCTTGAATCAAATCCTCTCCCTCCTCTGCTCAGAAGCCTTCTATGGCTCCCATCCTGGCCAAAGCCTACACCATAGTCCTCCCCAAAGCCACAGACACTATGTCCCGCCAAACCCCCAATGCACATGCCCTCCACTGCAGCCACAGTGACCTCCTTGGTCTTCCTCACACATGCCAGGTGGTGCCTGCCCCAGCCTGACCTCTCTCACCCAAGGCCTTCGCACTTGCTATTCTCTCTGCCTAGACTGCTCCTGCCCCAGATGCCCAACGATTCTTCCTCTCCCTCCTTCAGGTCCTAGCTCAGATGTCGCCTTCTCAGTGAGACCTCCCTCATCATTCTGTTTAAGTGTACTCCTCCACCCACACCACCCTTCCCTGCCTGACTCAATTTTAATTTTTCTCCAAAGCTCTTATCCTAACTACTATATAATTTACTTGCGTCTTTTTTTTTTAAGACTGGGGATTAAACCCAAAGCCTCCACACTGAGCTACATACATTCTCAGTGCCCCACTTCCCTTTTTTTTATTTTGAGACAGGGTCTCACTACATCATTAAATTGTCCAGGCTAGGCTTGAGCTTTCAACGCTCTTGCCTCAGCCTCCCAGAGTGCTGGAATTACAGGTGTGCACCACCATGCCTGATTTATTTACATATCTTGTTTATTGTCTGTTTCCTCCTAAGAGAACGGTGCCTCCAGGAAGGCAGGGTTTTTCATCTGTTTTACTCACTGCTGTCTCCCCAGAGCCTTGAATGGGGCCTTATACACAGTAGGTGCTCAACTAGGGATGGGAGGATTGGGTGCAGGGCCGAGGCCTGGCAGAGAGGTCTGGGGCAGAAAAGGCAGGTGAGCTCCCTGTGTCTAAGAAGATGGCTCCTTTGTATCTTTTGCTTTCACTCTTTCTGGTCATCCTATTTTCCATGTCTGTGTCCACTCCATGTCCCTCTTCCCAGAACACGAGCCCTGCCTCCCCAACACCCCAGCGTCCCACCTGGCTCTGTAGGTCTCAGCAGCCGCAGGGCTGAGGGGCCACGGCCTGGGCACTCCGAGGCTGCCGCAGCTGGCGGAGGGAGGCGTCACCATACTGAATGCCTGAGCCCATTCTCTCCGGATCCAGCTCGCCTGCAGGCAGGGGGAGAGCTTAAGACGAGTTCCATGGAGACCCTGGAGCCCTCCCTTCCACCTGCATTGGGCAGCTCAGTGGGGCCTCACCTGAGTCAATCTTGTTGAGGATGGTGCGAGCGCACTTCAGGAAAGCCTCCTCCACATTCTCACCTGTGAGCGCACTTGTCTCTAGAAACATGAGTTCTGGAGAGGCAGGGGCTCTGTTGGTCCCTGTCCTCCACTCCCACTTGGTTCTGCAAATGCTCCAGCCACCTTGGCCTCGTGTGGGGCCTCTGCACAGGCTGTGGCTCTGCAGAGAATTTTGTCCCCCTCCCCACATAACCCCTGGCTCATCCTTCTGGGCTCAGTGCACAGGACCCCTCCCTGAATGTCCTCCAGGACCTCCTGGCCTGGGTCAGGGATCTCCATTGGGCTCCCACAGCCTCCACTGCCTCCCCCAGGTGACCATGACCTCTCTGGGCTGTTACTGTCTGTCAGTGAACCTGCACCTTCAGTCTCACCCTCTGCACTGTGAGCAACACAAGGCTGTCTTCATCACTGGGTGCCCGGCGCTGTCTAGCACAGCCCCCATCTTACAAGATAAGGCCTCCTGGTGGGTAAACTAGAGCCAGGATTCAAGCCCTCTATCCAAACCACCAGATGTGGATGGTCTCGCAGCAAGCACACTGTTTTCAAATGAGTTTATGCTTGCAAACTTTGCTTTCGTGTGTGTGTGTGTGTGCCTGTGTGTGTGCCTGTGTGTGTGCGCGCATGTGTGTGTTACTGGAAATGGAATCCAAGGCCTTTGCACTGAGTACAGCCCCAGCCCTTTCATTATTTTTTATTTTGATACAAGGTCTGGCTAAGTCATTGAGTTGCCCAGGATGTACCCACACTTGCAATCCTCCTGTCTCAGCTTCCCAGGGTGCTGGGATTACAAGCGTCCACCACTATGGCTGGTTTGCAAACCTTTGACAGGGCCCATCAGTCCTCTCCATTCCCCTGATGCCAGTGCTTGTTCCCCTGAGATCCACCCTGGCCAGCTCCCTTATTGCCAAAATGTGCCAGTCCCTAGGCCATCTGAGTTTTCTACCTCTACCTTAACCTGATACCCAGCACGGCCTCCCTATGGTGGCAGACACTTCCTACCAGCCAACATTTACCCCGTACCCTCTCTGTGGCAGGGGCTGCTGAAGGCTTTCCATGGCCTGCCTAACCAGCACACCGTGAGGCAGAAACGCTGTGGCATTTCTCCACTTTCCAGCAGAGGAAACTGAGGACCAGTGTAGTCACACAGCTCAACACTCAGATTTGAGGGGGTCTTCTGAACCCCCACGTTCAGGGCACCACGTACCACTCTACCCCTCCACCCCTCCACCCCTCCACCCCCACCCGGCCCACAGCACGGCCCTCACCGTTCTCCTGGGCAAAGCGAGAGGCCTCCAGGAAAGTGACCTCACGTTCAGGGTCCAGGTCCTTCTTGTTGCCACAGAGGATGACCACGATGTTGGGGCTGGCCAGCGTACGGGCGTCCGTCAGCCAGGCGGCCAGCGAGTTGTACGTCTCCCGGCTGTGGAGGAGGCACACGAGGAAGGTGGCCCAAGAGAAGGGGCCCCAGGCCCTGCCCCCACCACGCCGCCAATGCCATGTACCCACCTGGTGATGTCGTACACCAGCAGGGCTCCAGCTGCCCCTCGGTAGTAACTCCGTGTCACCGACCTGTGGGGCCAGGGGGACCCAGTCACCCCCAAGGCTGGGGTGTGCCCCAAGACTGCCCCCCTCTGCGGAGAGAGACTGGTGGTTCGGAGGCCCCTCTTTCACTGCTGGCCCATGCCCCAAAACCTGTGCTTAGTCTGGGGGACACAAAATTTCTCTCTGCCGTGGTCCCTCTTTATTTCTCTCAATTTCTACTTCCCTCCCTTAGTTGTCTGTCTGTGAGTTTCTCTGTGTCCCTGCCTTTTTGTATTTCTGTATTGGTTTATTTCTTTCTCTCTATCTCTCAGGTGTGTATCTTTTTTTTTTTTTTTTTTTTTGAGACAGGGTCTCACTATGTAGTTCAGGCTGACCTTGAACTCACTATGTAGCCAAGCCTGCCCTCGAACTGGCAGCGATCCTACTGCCTCAGCCTCCTGAGGGCTGAAATTACCGGCATGCACTGCCATGCCAATTCCAGCCTCCCCCCTCTCTTAAATTTTTAAAATTCAAGACAAGGTCTCACTAAGCTGTTAAGTTGCCCAGGTTGGGCTCAAACTTGTAATGCTCCTGCCTCAGCCTCCCAGAGTGCTGGAGTTACAGGCAAGCACCACCACATCTAGCTTCTTTTTTTCTTTCCCTTTCTGAGTATGTGTATCTTTTTCAAATTTCTCCTCATTCAGTTTTAGGATCCCCCTCCAACCTATTTTGAGGTGCTAGGGATTGGACTAAGGGCCCTGTGCATGCTAGGCAAGCACTGTACCACTCAACTATAACTGCAGTCCCAAGCCTCCCTTTCTCTTATCTTGTCTCTGTCTTTCTCTTTCCCTCTCTCCTTAGCTGTATGTACCTCCCAACCAAGTCTTTATCTCCCTCCCTCCCTCTGTTTCCTCTATCTTCTCAGTGTCTTCACTCTGAGGAACTACACACGTCTCTCTCTCTCCTTCCTCCTTGGGAGCCCAGCCCACCTACCGAAACCGCTCCTGGCCAGCAGTGTCCCAAATCTGCAGCTTCACAGTCTTCCCGCCCACGTTGACCACTCGGGATCCAAACTCCACACCAATTGTGTGGTTGGAATCCTGTTTGACTAAGGGTGAGAAGAAAAAGGAGACAGGAGACCATGCAGAGGCTCAGAGGACCTCCACGCTCCATGGCCTCCTCTGTCTCTACCAACCCATGCTCACTGCTGGGGTGACTGAAAACCTAGACAGAGCATATGCCAATGCAAGAACCGTGCCACCTCGCTGGACTCACCTCACTAGCTGCCTGCCTGCCCCACCACACACCCATGTCCACAACTTGGTGTTCCCAGGACCAGTAGCAGAAACTTACACTTATTCTCAATGAACTGATGAAGGAGACATGATTTGCCAGTTCCTGCACTGCCAATCACCAGGAATTTGAAGAGAAAATCTGAAGAGATGTGGCCCAAAATCAAGGATGCCCATAAGGAGAGATATAGAGAAAGGGAAACCAAGAAAAGTTACAGGGAGACAGACACAGGTAGAAACAATACCTTAGATAACAACTGTAACAGATTACCTTTTTTTTCTTTTCTGCAATGCTGGGGATTGGACCTAGGGCTTTGTGCATGCCACAGCAGACAAAGTGCTCTGCCACTGAGCTACACCTTAAGCCCAAGATTATTCTTAGATATCTACCACGTGCCTTTGGCACAGTTCTACATATCTTTACTTATATCAACAGTTCACTTAAATCTTCAGGAAAACTCTAGAGGGCAGGTATAGTAAAAATGTCCCCATTGTCCAGATAAGGAAACCCAAGGCCAGAGAGGCTAACTTGCCCAGGGTCACACAGCTAGGCAGAGCTCAGATTCAAATCCAGACCAAAGGCTTCCAGAGTCTAAGATCTTAGCTAGTATACTGCTAAAGCCTCTTTCTAGCCTCTGTCCATCTTCACTTCTCCTACCACCCTCTCACTATCCACTGGGCTGTGGTCCCTAGCCTTCAGTCTGTTCCTTGAAAATGACAAACAGGTTCCCCCCTCTGGATCTTTGCACTTGATCCCTCTGCTTTTCTGTATTTGTTGAATGAATGCAGCTCCCTCTGACTCCCTGACCCCCACCCACCTGGTACTGAACATCCATATTGATTTTCCAATTCCCAACGTCTTCTTCCCACACTCTGCCAGATCCCTGATCCCTGTTCTCAAGCTTATGCCCCATTCCTCGACAGCAAGTCCCAATCCACATCCAAGGACAACCCACCCCAACCCTATTCCAGACCGCTCCAGCCAAATCAGCCCAAGGGGCCAGAGCACCCTTCGCGGTTTGCGGACCAAGCACAACCGTTAGCGGACCAAGAACGACCCCTCCATTCAGAGCCACCCCAGCCCCATTCTCTCAGACTCCGCCCCAACACATGAGGCCCCACCTCTTCACTCAAGGCCCGCCCTGAACCAGCAAGACCCACTCCCTCCGATTCCGCCCACATCTGTTTCACCCACACACCAGACCCTCAGGCTCCACCCAAATCAATGAAGCTCAGCCCTAGACTCACGAAACCCCTCCCAGCATCCACTTAGGCCCCGCCCCCTGGTATAAGACCCCGCCCCCATTCCCTAGAGTCCCCATCCTCTGGGCCCAGACCCCCAGACCCCAGCGTCGGCCCACCGCTCTCACCGTAGGTCTCGGCCATGACTCGGTTGCGACCGCAGAGGGCCGAAATATGGCGCCGCGGCCGCGCCTGCTCCTCGGCTGGCAGCCGCTCCACTCGGGCTGCAGCCCCGGCTCCTTCCTAGTCCCAGACCCGGAGCCACCACTTCCGCCTCCACCCCCAGCTCCAGCGCGACCCGCTAGAGCTGCGGGACACCAAGCCACGCTTTCTGAAGGGCAGGATTGGTAAACTCTGCCGGCAGGGGGTGGGACGAAGGGCACGGATTGGTGGCGTGAGAGGGGCGGGGTCAAAAGGGGCGGGGACAGTAACAGGGATTGGTGAAGCAAGTGGGAAGGGGTGGTGCAGAGATGCTTGGTCCAGCGGAGGAACGGATCTGATCAGGAGTCCGGGCCACGGTCGAGACTCTGGATTGGGTAGAAGCAGACTTAGGGGAGGGGAAAAGAATGCAAAGGGCAAGGCAGGATTGATAGAATTGGGAGAGAGGCGGATCTTGAGCTAGTGGATGCGATTTCTGACCCTGAAGGGAGGATGGAGGAAAATCGGGAGGATATGCGCAGGTTGCTTCCCACATCCTTCTGCAGATATTCTTCAAGAAAACCTCAACGCTGGTCGTGCACGCCTGTAATCCCAGCATTTGGGAAGATGAGGCAGGAGGACTTCCGCAAGTTCGAGGCCAGTCTGAGCTATAGTGAGTTCAAGGCCAGCCCGAACTACATAGCGAGACCATGTCTCAAAAAAAATAAAAAGAAAAGAAAGAAAAAAGCCGAATGTGGTGAGGCACGCCTGCAATCCCAGCCCTCAGGAGGCTGAGGCAGGAGTATTAACATGGGTTTGATGCCAGCCTGGGCTGTACAGTGAGTTCAGGGCACCCTGAGCTACATAACGAGACCCTTTCTCAAAAACACAAAAAGCAAACAAAATACCAAAACTGCGCTGGGATTTATGTTCTCCTTATGGACCTACTGGCTAATTCCCAATAGTTAATACTCTAACTGTCTATAGAGGTCACCGCAATTACCCAGCTGGGCTGTTTAGGCTAAAACATATTCTCCCATGCTTGTATCACAGATCAAAGTTTTGGAGCCTAACCAAGGGTAACCAACCTAGCGCAAAAAGCGGTCAAAGTGAAATTCTGCCTAGCAACCAATGACGTTAACACATTGAGGGGGTTGATTGGCTAGCTTTAGAAACCTGAGAAACATTTCCTTTGTACATCCGCCCCACCCCCAAAAACACAGAGACCAGCAGTTTGCACTCAGTGTATTTGCATAAGGCCTGGAGGGAAACAGCAGAAGAGTGGAAGGCTGAGCTCACTGACAGCAGAAATCCCATTTCTGAAAAATAGAAAAGGAAAACGGTGAAGAGAAAACGGTGGTCACACCACAATGGATCTAGTGGTTTTCACTGTAGCTTCAGAGGCCAAGTTTGACCACGCAAGAACTATGTAGAGTAGCCAAGCACCCTCTAGCCTTTGCACCTCCCAACTAGACTGGTTTTGGAAATCTCTCTCCATTTTAAGGGTGACAAAACTGAGGCCTAAGAATTGTCTCAGCACAGACCCGAAGGCCAGTGGAGAGCCAAGAATAGGGGTCTCTTTGCCTGTCATCACAAGCCATGTATCTTCCTTCCCTCCAGAACCCAGCCACCCTCCAGGACACTTACATCTGTCTTCACATCAATTTTGCCAGGTTTCAGAGTCTGGCCTTCTCGAACAATGCTACTGGGGAAATAGCCTAGGTGAGCCGGCAGGTCTGCGTAGTAATCTCCCTGAACCTGGGGAAGAGGAGTTAAAAGCCAGGTCTGGGAAGATGGCAAGATCATTCTTTCTCAAGGTCCCCGAACTGTCTCCTCTCCTGGATCTCCATGCCTAGCTCCATCCTTGTCATTCAAATCTCAGCTTATCACCTGCTCAGAGACCCTCCTTAAGCACTCCATTAATTACCCACATTTGCCTGGTATGCATGAGACCCTGAGTTCAATCCCAGCCCTGCCAAGAAATAAAATAAAATAACCTAGCTACTCTATATTAAAGCTCAGGGAAGCATATATTTGCTCATGTCTGAGTTGTTACCGGAGTCTGAACCCAAGGTGTTTCCAGTGAGCTACATCCCCGGCCCTCTTTAAAAATTTTGAGTCAGGGTCTTGCTAAATTGTCAAGGTTAGGTTCAAACTTTTGATCCTCCTGCCTCCAGCCTCTCAGGCCTCAGTCTCTTAAGAGTGCTGGAATTCCAGGCATGAACCATTATACCCAATTTACTTGCTATTATTTTTGATGGCTATTATTGCTTGTCTACCTCCATTAGAATAAAAGGGATCATTTGCTCTCTTATTCTCAATGTCTAAAAAAGAACTTGGTACCAAGTTGCCCTTTACTAAACAAAATAAAAATTAGGTCACAAAATAGTCCCTCCTCCAAATATCACTATTTCAGTTTACCCCCCTCCAATTCCCATTCAGGGCCAAAACAAGTTTACTCTCACCAGTGCCCCATATCTTTCCCTTTTTCCCTCTCCCATGACTCACACTGCCTCCCCAGAAGAACCTCCCTCGGCCCTTCAGCTTGGAGAAGACATACACAATTTGGCCCCTATGTATGGTCAGGAAACGGCAGTCCGGAGCCACATAGTCTTGAAGGGCCACAGCCATTGAAATGGGGTCTGCAGAAGTAATAAAAGGGAAGGACAGCACCCCACACACCAACCAGCAAACCCCAGCCCCCAGCTCCCCTCTTACGACTGCATTCCGCATCAGCACACAGCTTCCGGTCAGCCAGCTTGGGCATGAGGCAGCATGCCCCACTAGGGCCTGGGAGAGCAGACAACAAAACAATGGCACCAAGGAGCACTGGGGACCACACCATCATGGACTGTGAGCAAGAATGACCAAGTGTGGAATGGGGTCTCATTTCCTCCTGCTCCCTCTCTCCAGAGGCACAAGGAAACCTGTGTTCTCTTGTCTCCACCCAACACCAGTCCCAAATTTCGCCCACACCATCTAGAGGCTGCTATCCAGCCAGAACCATTTCAAGGACAGGGTGAGGTCCATCTGTCCAAGAAAATACACAGATAGACCCAGGGCAACCCAAGCCGCTCCAAGGGACAGCTACCCACTCAACAATCAGAGCCCAGGACAGACAGTTTGAGATATGTGATTCCATCTTCTCTGGAGTCAGCTTAGGTATTAAGAGGACTCCATTCTCCCCTCCTGGGACAGAACCAGAGGAGCTGGTATGGAAAACCACCCTGGAATTTCCTGTGCTGAGGGACAGAACAAGGCAGCCTTTTGATTACCAAAACTGCCCCAGCTCTCAGGTACTGGTGAATATTACATGTTAGGCCTTAGGATAGGGAATGTCCCAGCTCACTATTCACCACCACCACCACCCCGCCCCGGGCCACTTCCTGAGGGATGACGTGCAGTAAACTATGCCTCCCTCCTCTCATAGCTTCACCTTCCTCATGTGCAAAATGAGGGCAATAATGAAGGCACATAGTTACAGTGCATTCACTAAGATCTTTATTCTATTAATTCACATGGATACTCTTCATCACCTTAGAAGCAGCTATTAAATAAATTGAAGGGCCAGGTCCAATGGTGCATACTTGTAACCCCGGCACTCAGGAAGCTGAGGTAGGAAGATCTCCATCAGTTGGAGGTCAGCCTGGGGTATACAATGAGTTCAGGGTCAACTTGAAGTATATAGCTAGACCCTGCCACACTCCATCCCCCCAAAAAAGAAAAAAAATTCAATGCCAGCCTGAATTACAGTGAGATCCTGCCTTTAAAAATAAATAAAACTTTAGGGCTAGAGGTCCCATTTGACCCAGCTATTCCCCTGCTAGGTAACTTCCCAAAAGAATTAAAAGAATCATACCACAGTGATATATGTGCACCCATGTTTATAGGGGCACAGTTTGCAATAGCTAAAGCTTGGAAACAGCCCAAGTGCCCAACAACTGGAAAATGGATAAAAAAGATGTGGGTTTTTTTATAAAATGGAGTACTACTCAGCCATAAAGAACCAGAAATTAGAGACATTTATACCTAAATGGATGCACACTGAGGCCAGACTCTTAAGTGAAATAAATAGGACACACATGTAAATACAGAAGTTTCTCTAGTGTGAGAAACTGAAAGTGTAAATAAGGATTAAAATGATTAAAACGAATAACTGATAATTTGAAATAGGAAGAAAAGGTACAAAGGGGTAGGGTGGTAGGAGGGGAAGGAAAAAGGAAAGAAGAGAAAGGAAACATTATGAGAAAAGAAAAAAATGGAAACAAAGTCTATGTAAATAGGGAAGGGTGGAGGGGGGGTGAAGGGCGCACAGGTAATGGGGAAAAAATAAGAACCAAAATACATAATGTACAGGTACAAGCACCCAATGATAAATGTAAACGTATTGTATACCTTAAATGTACCAATAAAAGAATTTAAGGAAAAAATAAATAAAACTTTAAAAAATTATATCAAGACCTAAGAGAGGTATCAACCAGTCACTATGTGGACTTTATTTAGCTTCTGACAGTATACAGATTTATGTATACCAATTTTGAAAAGCTCAACACTGATCAGGTATCTAGTGGTGTTTAAAAACTATTCTGAGCCAGGCATGGTGGCACATGCCTGTAATCCCAGCACTTGGGGGGCTGAGGCAGGAAAACTGCTGTGCGTTGGAGCCCAGACTGGATACATAGCAAGACCCTGTCTTAAAAAACAAAACAAAATAAAACAATTTTGAGCTGAGTGTGGTAGTACCTGCTGATAATCCCAGCATACTGGGAGGCTGAGGCAGGAAGATAGCAAATCAATCCCAGCCTGGGCAACTTAAAAGAGACATAAGAAGCTGTCTCAAAATAAAATATTAAAGGGCTGAGTTTGTAACTCAGTGCAAAGGCCCTGAGTTCAACACCCAGTACTGGAAAAAAGAAATTTTCTTGGCCAAGCAAAGTGGTAGTCTGCCTGTAATCCCAGCAACTCAGGAGGCTGAGGAAGGAGCCCAGCCCTAGCAACTTGATGAGATCCTATTTCAAAAGTTAAAAAAAAAGGGGTCCGGGGATTTAGCTCAATGGTTCTGCCGCCTGCCTCCCAAGCAGAAGGACCTGAGTTCAATCCCAGGTACCAAAAAAAAAAAAAAAGTAGAATGGACTGGGGATGTAACTCAGTGTAGAGGGCTTGCCTAGCATACACAAAATCCTGGGTTTAATCCCTAGTGCCCCCCCAAAAAACATTTTCAATCCTATTTAGACATAATTATGGTGTTGTGGTTTCTATAGTTTAGAAAAATAGAACTGGAAAGAAAGAAAACTAGAGCTTAGCTCTATACCAGATGTCTGCTATTTGCTTCAAAATAATTTGAAAAGTTGGAGAAATAAAATGAGTGAATGCTTGAAAAACTGGCCACAAGGTGAAAAGTGAAGTTGGAAGAAGGCAATATAGGGGTCAGTGTGCTGCTGTCTTTTTTCATAGAAGTTTGAACTTCCCACTTTAAACATTTTTAAAAAATTATTTTATACATACTATGCTAGTCACTGATCTAGGCATGGGAGATTCACCAAGGAATAAAAATTGAAGGCCTCTGACTGGGTGTGGTGGCACACGCCTGTAATCCCAGTACTGGAGAGGCTGAAGAAAGAGGATTGTCAGTTCGAGGCCAGCCTGACCTACACAGTAAGTTCAAGGATACCCTGAATTACACAGTGAGACTCTTATCTCAAAAAACAAAACAAAACAAAAAAAATTGAAGGCCTCTGGTGGGGAAGATAATCAGTAAAAAAAAAAAAAAAAAAAAAAA